CTTACTATATATATATATATATATATATATATATGATGATAAGGCAAGGGGTATTTTGGTCATAAAATATGAGGTCTTTTAGGAAAATGCAAAAGGGAAGAAAATAAACTCACGCCAACAGATATCAGATCCTAGGGTTTTGTCAATAGGTTCTTTATGGTTCATTTTGTATGCTTTTTAATTGAATTTGAGCATGTTTCCATGGTTTTTTATTTTTTTATTGTCAATAGTTTTTCACCATATGATGATTGATTTTACCTATAACTCTAGACTTTTTTTTATTTTATTGTATAATGTATGAATTGTAACCGATGATGGATATATGTCTCTGTCTATATTCCATTGTAAAACATGCATAACGCACTAAATATATCAAATTCTTATTAGGGAAAATATATTTATATCCCCTATTTTTAAGTTTCATATCTCCATAGATCCAAGATTTCAAAACATATCTTTGACTATAGATATCTTAAGTTTTATATCTTCCAACCCCCTAATCTAACTTTTTTCACTTTGATCTTATTTTCTAACCCAAACAAATTATAAAATGACAACTATTTCTAAACTTATATTTTCACTCTCATCTCAAAACTTCTCCCTCTTTTACTCTCCCCAAGCCCCTTTTTTCCGTGTATTACCCCTACTCTCTCTATCTCTTCCTCCATATTTACCTCTCTCCCTCCATATTTACCTCTCTCCCCCTCACTCCTCAAGCCCTCTCTCTCTCTTTCCCTCACTCCTCAAGCCCTCTCTCTCTCTTTCCCTCCCTGCGTGCTCGTATGGCCCCCTCTCTCTCTGTGTGCCCGTATGGCCCTCTCTCTCTCTATGTGCCCGTATGGCCCCCTCTCTCTCCCTATTACCCCCCTCTCTCTCTCCCCCAAATGCCATAATTTAAAACACCCTTATAAATGAAGGTTTCGAATTGAAGAAGAAAATGGTCCAAAAGGATTGATTGCTGATGGGTTCACTTATGGTGCTCTTGAACATGGTATGTGCAAGGAGAAAATGACTCAAGAGGCAAAACAAGTTATCAATGAAATGCTCGAGAATGAACTAAAACCTGACTATTATATTTACAGTAGTTTGATTGATCGTTTGGTGAGAGTAGAAGAACTTGAAGAGGCTTTCAGTGTAAAAGATAAGATGGTGACCACGAGTATTCAGCCCAGTGCTATAACATATAACATGCTTATTCATGGGGTATGTAAAAAGGGTATGGTGAAAGACGCTGATAAGCTCTTGGATGAGATGGTGAGGATGGGTTATACCCCAGATTCCATGGCTTATACTTCAGTTATTGAAGGACATTGTAAGAATCAGAATTTGGCCGAAGCTTTCGATCTTCTTGCCAAGATGAAGCAAAGAAAAGTGAAACCATATGTTTGTGGTAACTTATAGCATTTTGATAAATGAGCTTCACAAAACATGAAATTTCCAGATGGTTTGATTGGATTTACCAACCGAATCTCTAATTCTCCACTGCTTAACTTTCAAACCTTAATCAATCCTCAATTCACCATTGAACCTTTTAAGCCCTAGCAAACCTCGTAGAAAACTTGAGTAAGGGTTTCACATAGCATCAAACAATGAGACAATTGATGAGTATTTTAAGCATTAGGCAGATATGGAAGGCTTTTCCCTTAAACTGAGAAATTTTGAAGTCGTCTAAGATTCCATCAAAAATAGCAGTACCTCTGCAAATGGAGAAATTTGTGGTTTGAAACCTCTTTGCAAATTGACTTCTCTCAAAGAGAAGGAAGGTTTGGGGATGGGAAACATGGGGTAGAGAGAGAGCGGGGTAATATGGAGGGAGAGAGAGAGTTAGGGTAATGCATAGAGGAGAGAGTTTGGGGAGAGAAAGAGGGAGAAATTTGGGGATGAGAGAGAAAAATATAGGTTTAGAAATATTTGTCATTTTATAATTTATTTAGGTTAAAAAAATAAAATTAAAATGGAAAAAGATAGCCTAGGGGGTTAGAAGATACAAACCCTATAATTCTTATGGCCCAGTATATGTTTTGAAATCTTAAGTTCATGGAGGTATGAAACTTAAAAATAAGGGATATAGAGATATTTTCCCTTCTTATTAACTAACAACATAATTGTGACATTATAATGAGTATTATAACTATAACGAAAGTAATTAAGATCCTAAATTAACCATTATGAATATGTTATGCTAAAAGCACAATTGTCATTATATATTATTAACTAGTATTATGTTTGCTACAATTTCATACGCGTCATTTATAAGTAATGAATTTATAGTTGAGTTAATTAAAATTACAATACTATCCTTTGTACCTTATTTACTTTATCACAATTTTATGTGTTATATTAGCATAGTAGTAGCAATTTATTCGTTTCATATTTATTTGTCATATAATATTTTATACATTATGTATATAATCTTAACATAAAACTTTCATAGCAGGTGCATCTTACTAGTTTAACAAAAAGGTCATAAAGCTCCGCTGGATATTGCCATATCTTATGATTCTTCTACTCATTTGAAATCACAATTATTCTAATGTTTTAGGGAGTTAGGCCATGGTTTGCAAGTCTCCTATTAAAACACGTCTTTTTTCAAAAAAACCTCTGACTTTTTTAAATCCATTAAGAATTTTGAGTTTTTCAAAAGCTCTTAAAAAGAACCGATATAAATCCGTACTTTATCTTTATTCAAAAAGCTTTTTTTAAAAGAAATTCTTCTCTATCTTTGGATGAGATTCCCTCATAAGGATGTCTTTTATTTAAGGTATTAAAGAAAGAGAAACATGTAGAGATTTCACATGGGGATGTATGTATTTCTCCAAAAAGGTTTCCATGTACAATCAAAAGCTCCCCTCTCTCTCCCTCTTCCTCTCTCCTAGTTTTCTTTTTATAGAAACCTTCGCATGAAAACCCATATGTGATCCAAGAGCTTTTGGGCCTTCTACCGAATGTCCAAGATTTACATTATGTATAAATTTACATTGATGGTTTTAGTAACTGGTTATCAACCTAGGGATGTGGGTACCTCTCAAACCATAGGAGGTGCACATAAAAGATGGGAGAAACGTATCAACCACATTGAAAGAATCAGATATAAAAAAGATATGTCATTTTTATGCAATTTGTTTATTTTTATTTTTTTTGTTACTTTCGGGATTCCCTCCATAGTCCCTACACACTTTACTCATGGTTTTCTTCTTTGCTCAATGTGCTATAGGCAGGGTGAATTGCAATCAGTCATATAATAAAATGTTCATTTCCCAAATTGTTGAGGATTGATATCTTGTATTTTGAGGAAAAATATCTGCCAAAGGTAGAGTTAAAGAGACGATTTCGGAGGGCCGTTAAAAGCCCGAAGGATCGATAGGGGTTCTTTTTAGGGTTAAGAGAAAAACACAGGTTTTTTTGTAATCAAAGAGAACAGAGAGGCGTGAGGAAGAGAGCTATTGTAACCCTATTCTCCATTGCCAGTAAAATAGCTCTCATCTCTCGTGGACGTAGGCTCGTTGCCGAACCACGTATATCTTTGCGTTGTGATTGGTTGTTTCTTTTTTTTGTGTTTGTTTCTTCTTTTTTGTGTTTCATGGATTGCTTTCAAGGTTTTCTATATAAACGATGGAAAATTTAGATTCAAAAGACACACATGCCCATGAGCATAATCGAATTATTGTCCAAAAAGTAGAAGGAAAGATAACTCAAATACTCGCATAATCCACTTCCTTTGCATGATACCAAATATCCTTAAGACAATGTATTTTTACCTAAATGTCAGGAAATTCTGTGATTTTTTGTCATTAATTTTTCTGTCTTCTCTTTTATGGAATTAGAAATTTGGTAGAGGAGGTCTTGCTTGTTGGAGGCTCCAAGGGTGTCGAATGAGGTACAGTGAATGTTGGGGCTCGGTCAAAACTTTGATAATCCATTGACATATCTATTGTGCTCATCATTTCCTTCAAATCTGCCCTAATATCCTGCCCAAATGAGCATAAATGCCAAAATTATTAGAGAAGATAAAATTACTCGCATGGTCAATTAAACATGAAAAACTTTATTTAAAATTGCAACCCCATTTGTAAAAATAAAGTTGCAATAATCAACATCGTTCATTTTATTTGGATTTTGTAGATTTCATGTTATCTTAAATGATATGCTACTTTTTGAGATTATGTTAAAAGATGTGTCAAATCTACATTATCAACTCTCTTATCCTAAGTGTCCTAGCTGCATCACCCACCATCACCATTGATGCCACAATGTTAATCTCTCATCATGAGTTAAAATGCATAAATGCCAGGGTATATGAATCTATGTTATTGTTATGTATCAATCTATCTTTAGGCTAAGCATTGTTGTCGTTGTTGTTATTGTTTTATCATTTATTCCCTTGGTCAAACAAGCTACTTGGGAGGATTATTGATAAAAAAAAATTGGGATCCACATAATAATTGCCAAATGATTATTTAAAAAAGAAGAAGTTATATTTTGACATGGGTGTTAGTGTCTAGTACGTGTCGGGGTATGCAAGGGAAAAAATAATAATAATTCTATGACATGTCCGTACAGTATTTTAGCGCTTAAGGTTTATATTTATATGTTAAATTTTCAATAGAAATAGGTGGGCTCCATTAAATTATGGTTCAAAGATAGATTTGATCTCCAAAGACAAACTTATTATAAGAACTGCCGACAACTCTGGCTTGAAATCAAACAATATTAAAAAATAATAATAAAATAAAATTAAAAAATAAACAACTAAAAGTAACTAAGAACGGAAATCGAATAAAAAGGAGAGAAACTCACCTAAAAAACTCGGAGTTGGGTACCCATATCAAAACTGTGGGTTGATTTACACCTTTAGTGCCTTTTATTTCTTTTTTGAAGAATTGACTTGAAAGATTTTGATTTGATTGGGGATTTGTAGAGAATTTTGGTTGAACATTTTCGGAGATTTAACTTAGGGTTTTAGCCGAGGTTTTTTCCTATATCTAAGGTTTTTTTAGCCTGAGCGAATATTTTTGAGATTTTATAGGAAATGTTTCTAAGATTTTAGGCTCCTAATTTATGAGGCATTTTTCTAGGATGTTTTTGGGTTACCTTTTTAATATTTTCTAGGGATTTTAGGTATTAAATTTCTAAGCAAATTTATGGGCTTTTTTTGTATTTTTATTTTGCTTTTTTATAGTGGATTATGGGGATTTATGTAGCCTTGAGTTCTGGACATCTTCTAGGAAATATTCATCTGATTTCTAGGGTTTGACTGATCAAAATACATCCAAGAACCAGTCAGACTACCCCAAAAACCTCTAGAAAGTTCTTGCCATGTCACTGAACTACGGACAGGGACCAAATTGAAATATCTACGAATAAATTTTTTTGGATATCACATCCAAATTGTATGTCAGATTCAAACAACTTTTGGACTTTTAGAAAGCTTATAACATCATCTACAATTTAAATTCAATTTTAATTTAATTGGAGTGAGTTTTAAAGGGTCTACAAAGCTTGAACTTTAGGGTATTGATTTTCAATTTTATGTGTCATATTAGTAGAATGTCTAGGCTAACTAGTTTTAAAGGGTCTACAAGGCTTGAACTTTAGGGTATCGATTTTCAGTTTTATGTGTCATATTAGTAGAATGTCTAGGATAACTAGTTTGGGGTATTAGGTAGCTTTAAAGCGTGGACTTAAGGTCTAAGATGGTGACTATAGTACAAGATTATTGGTTGTGGGGAATTCCCTTTGCCAAAAATTTCAGGGGAGTGTTTTCTTTTTCTTAATTGACTAAATGGTAATTTGGACCATTTTCATTTGCTCTCTATGTTTTGATTGTTACAATTTGACCTATAAATTGTTATCATGTGATGTGAAGGAGGTGGTGGTAGTGATGTTGTTATGGTGGGGAAGAGCGATACTATTTATTTTTTGCACTACAATTTGGAGTAGTTTTACAAAACATTTAGTTTATGAGCCCAATCATAATCGAGAATCAATTCAAATTTGCAAATCTAAATATCCCTCTAGGTTAAATTGCTGATTTGAAATTTTCAAATAATACTTTCAAATAATACCCCATTGCACTTCGGCTATAAAATCAAATAATACCATGGATTATAGTATTAAATAAGTCCCTAACCAAAGTCCAAGTATACCCTAAAGGGATGGTGGATCAATTAACGCATAATAACCCAATTTAACCTTTTCTTTATAAATCGAATGGACCTAAATATTTGGTCAATGTGTAACTCGCCAAGGTCCGCATAAGAAAAGGAGAAGCATCCCATCCACATCATTTGGACCAGTGGTTGAGATTTCACAAGGCTATATCCAACGGCTGAAAATTAGTCTCATTATTTTTTTTTTTTTTTAAATAATATATTTGTATAATTTTTTTGCTGTAGGTGTAT